TTTTTCCCATGTCTCTTGTTTCCCTTTCATAATCCCCATTTATCCTGCCACCTGTACGTTTTGTTATATTATTTCCTTAGGATATATGTTTACAAGGCATATCTGAATTAGCCTTATCAGTTCTTTATCCAAGAAATTCATTTAGTTTATTCTTAGGCCACTTTTGATGATTCTTCTGAGTATTCCTATCTTCAGTGTTGGCTTGAGCTCGTTTTCGCAACTTATTCGGAGCGACAGAGAGACCTTGTGGAGCGTACCTAGTGTAGCATCTCTTTCTCTCAGTCCTATTTCAAATGGTTCATTTACCCATTCACACCATTTTGTGTTTTCGCTTCCCCCAATTTCGCCTAAGAATGTCTCGTTTCAAGTGGATTTAGTGAAGCATAATCGTCTTCGCGATCAAAGAATAGACCACACCATCTTGCTCTTCATATTTACGAATCCAATCTTTAGTCTGTAATTATAGTAAAACTGGAAATGTAAGATTGTTCCTGCGTGAACAGCCCTGAGGTCCGCCCTGCGATCCACCGGCACCCGTGGATTTATAGTCGAGTGGCAACGTCACCACGATGCCCACGATCTGACTTGGGCGAAATCGAACTTGCAACTAATCCTCTATGGAATCAGGGTTTGAAAGGCAGTGTTAAGTTAAATTTAATGACATCCTGAGGCCTACTCATCTCAATGTGGGAAAACTCAACTGTCCATTCTTATATCATCTTAAGTGGCCTCGAGTAATTGCAGTTCATGGATGAATAAGTTTTAAATAGATTCGTTTTTCATCTCGAAATCTTAAGTTTTTTGACAAGATTATAACTATGAAAAGTAAGTTTTGGATTCCAATTTTAATGAGATTGGTGTCTCATTTTCATTCCTGAGAACATTTAGGTCTTAATCATATTCAGTGACCCAATATATCAAATGAAATACATCTGATGGAAGTAGTCCATATAAGAGGTAAGCTAGAGCCGGATAGTCTTCTTGCCCTAGTGCCAGTGTGAGATTTTTACAGTAATGAGCTCTGATGAGGTCCATTAAATGATGGACGAAAGCTCAGTCCGTTTTCAACCGAAGCGAGGGAGCAGGTCTCGTGGACTACATCAATCTGAACATCGTATAAAAGTCAAACGGCTGCAGCACAACGGGATTCATCCGTTCTCTTATGGTGAGATCGACATATGAATCTCTTCAGGTGAGATCGACATATGAATCTTTTCTTTAAGTACTTTCATACGAAACGAAAGTCCCTCCAACAATAGTTTTATCTACTCAAGCCTTCATGTAGGTAGCTTCTCTTCTACACAAGTGTTCTGAAGAACTTTATGAATTATAGGAGGCAATAGGTACCTGTTTTATTGAAATTATTGTCCAATCAACTGCTTAAATCCACTCGTCCATTTGGATAATATGCGTTGATATGTGAATGCCGGGCCAGCTCCCACCAACTATATAAGCCGGCAGGCTGGACAATAAGCTTTGTGAGTATAAGCCTGTTGTTAGAACCTTTCTTTTCTTGCTCCTTGTATGGTGAACAAGATCTCTTATTTTGTCGGCCTCTGCACTATAGCTTTCCGATCACTCAGCCCTGAATTAATTTTGTTGTAGCTCGTCCATAAGGTGGCGCATGTATCCTCTCTACTTTGGGGGAGACTTTTAATGTTCAGTTTAAATTCAATGAGTATGTTCCATTCCCGAATTATTATTTTGGATTTGTTTTTGGATTTTTGAGAAGCCTGGTGCCGACACTAACGCATGCATGCATCCTCCAAAATGGGGAGCTCGACATAAATTAGTTACAATATTCGCCTGATTTTTTCAGCTGAGAGGACTATAAGCTGTGTATTGGCCATCCAACCCTATTCTGACTAGGCAATGTCTTATTAAGATGATGCTGCAAAAGCCAGATTGTAATGCCTTTCGGTAAGGCCTTATTTCATATTTGATTCTGTGGGACTATTCTACAGGAGTCTGGTTTATCGTTTTTGTTATTAGATTAAATATGTTTTATTCTGTTTGACCTTGTTTTCGCAACATGGTCATATTGGTAGGAAGACTTAGAGCAAGGCACCTAGTCCGGAGTCCATTGTCTCAATGATCATTTACAAAGTTGAACCATGGACGTGGTACATTCCCAAACGTTTCGCCGGCATCGTCAGTGAGTATCGCCATTATTAGCACCACACAACAACTCGTCAAAGAGACAAGTGAAGCCGATCCTTTGACTTGTCTATTTGACGAGTTGTTGTGTGGTGCTAAGGATGCCGATACTCACTGAAGATACCGATGAAAAGTTTGGGAATGTACCACGTCCACGGTTCGATTTTGGAAATGATCATGCAGACAATGGACTCCGGACTAGGTGCGTTCCTTTCAGTCTTCCTACCAACATGACCAAGTTGCGAAAACAAGGTCAAACAACCTCTATACAACTAAAGGAGACTGCGACCACACAAAAGGCCACACCATCTTGGTCTTCATACCTATGTTTATTCTGTTTTTAGGCCAAGTCTGGGCTCCGTCCCCATGCTGCACCAGTGACTTTACCCAGTCGTCATTCTGCCAATATCTCTGACACCTCTTCGCGTGTCTTAACTAATCTAAAACAAGCCCTTAAAAGAGTGACTCATTTGTCCGGCATGCGTAACCAGCATTTATCAGCTTTGGAGGCCGCTTCTACACTTACGACTCCGAATGAGGGCCTTTCTGTTGATGCGTTCCGGCGCATCCTTGTTGTCGGCTCTGCACACATTTCGAGACCCCATGATGTTGTGGTTCATCCAACTGAAAGGTTGGTAATCTATTTCTAGGAAAAGACATTTATCTTTGTGCATGACTGGGCTCACTCCACTTTTTATAGCTCTGGCTTTCATTTCTTATATATTTAGCAATTTTTGACTCTATACTTGCTTCTTTTTTGATCAAAGAGTTCTTCACTTTTCATCTTTTATCTTGTATTGGACACCACTAGAAGCTCTGATTTTTAAACTCGTCACTTTGACAGGATGTAACTAGTGTTGTCTCTTAATGATGATATTGACTAGGATTCCGTCGAAATGTCTGAGGATGAACCAACTCAACGGTCGGATGCAGGAAATTATCATGACTAATCCTGCAGAGGGTGCTCTGCCCAAGGAGACCAGATATTCTCTTTTATTGGACACCTATCTAACGTGAAGACAAGGTAAATTGTCTTTTTTTTGGAGGGAGGCTAAAGCAATCATGTCCCCGTCTTGCACCTTCCCTGGAATCTTCTTAATACAGTAATGCTCGCTACTTTAAGGCAGCCTTAAATGAAGCTTACTACAACCAAATTTCAACTCTTTATCAGGCAAGTTCACTCAAGTAAGTTTGTTGTGCTCCTAGGATAGACGTGGACTGTCTCAGTTGTCCTATTTTGAAACGGCCGAATACAGTATGGAGGAGGTGACAATAGAAAGTCAATCATTGAAAGCTGGCGCCAAATAGAACATTCTAAACCCCGCTGGCCACAGCGGAGCGGAGAAAAGAAGGAAAAGAACGTTATCAATCTAGACAATATGTTAGCTACTTGATATAGCCTTGCTAGTTTTCCATGTCAGCTTATGATTGCATGATGCGGTGCCAAGCTTTAATTGGGTGACGCGAAATAGAGTCAAGATTAGTCAAGCACTCACGTTATCTCTGCGCCAAAGGATGTTGAGCCATGGCTACGTATGGGATGTAAAAAAAACTAAACGTTGAATGGGAACTGTGGAGATAGATCACTACAAGTTCCTTCTTACAAGTTCTTACATTTGACACTTTTAGCCCATCAACCCTACTAAACTTTAGTATGATGGTATAGACAAGGCTATGTGGAGCTTGCGTTAAAAAGAATGCCTTTAGGAAATGAGTGTCTGATCTGAAGGCTCTTTTGTTTAGCTCAATATTAGCGTACACATATTTTGGCTCTCGGTTGTATCCAACCCTTGGTCCGTTCTTGAAGCATCTTGATAAGATACATGAAATCAGAAGAACAACATCTAAGTCTGTCACTAGCCTAAAATCCGCCGCAAATGATCAACCTTGACTTTAAAGAATCTGGTCCGATATACTTTCAAGCAGTGTGTATATTTCGAAATCAGAATCTTGTTGTGTATGATGAGGATTCGTAGGTCGATCTCGCCAAAAGACGACTACGGGATCCCTTTATACTGCAACCGTTCATCTTTAATACAAGGTTCGAGTTGACGTAGTCCATGAGACATCCGTTTTGAATGAAAACGGCTGAGTTTTTGTTCATCATATGATGGGCATAATTAGAACTGGAACTCATTCTTGTAATAGTCTCACATTCACTAACACTAAGTCAAGAAGGTGACGAGTTCAAGCTTAAGGAGACTGCGGTCAAACAGAAGGCCACACTATCTTGGTCTTCATATCTACGACCTAAGTCAAGAGGAGACTGTCCGGCTCTATCTTACCACTTTTAGAAGAATAAGTTACAGCTCTAATTTATATCATATGATGGACGAGAGTTTAGGCATGTTTCATCCGGGGCGATGGAGGATGTCTTTCAACTGAAAAGCCCTATTAAAGTTAAACAGCTGCAGTACAACACTGCATTTGAATCTCTTCCTCATACATTTTCATATTAAAGGGACAGTCTCCTCAACAATTTGATCTGAAAATATTCTTCAAACTACACTTACTCTTCTTATATAGAAATAAAAATTATCAGCTTGCTTTTGCGATATATTTCTTGCGTTATGAGTTGACTGGAAGTGATGCAACCCGGTTACTAAAGCACATGGCTAGACTAAAGATACTTTCCCATTGAAGGAATCGCGCCATTTTGGCGGCTTAATTCCTCATCTCATCAGATTTGGAACTTTCTATATTTGTTTTTTTCTCTAAAGCTAACTTCGCTCCGTCACTTCAGGAGCCTAAAAGTCTGGTTCAAAGTTTTGGGGCATTTTCAGGTGATCTTTTGTTAACTTCCCAAATAAGTTGACCGTATTCCTGGAGTTATTTTGTTTCTGAGTTGTAGATCCGATACTTTAAATTTTACTAGCATGTCTCAATACGCTTTCTGTTTTAGTATTAATACACTTAACCTATGTTGAAAGTAATGAGGTAAGAAAACAGGCTTATTACATACGTACCATCAGTATTCATATAACCAGATATTCTAATCTGGAGATGGTATTGTTGCCACATTACTAACAACTCAACACTTGAATCTAGCCTATTTTTATCCTCTGCCCATTCTCTCCACCCTTCATGCCGATCATATCTTTTAAGTTTGGTGTTCTGGCTCGATGAACCAATTACTTGGCCATTACCCTCAAGCCCTCTGGACCAGCCTGCCTCGCCAGGGTCTATCCGGTTGGTTCGAGTGGGCTTCGACGGTCTTCAGCCCACAGTCATCTGGTCTGGTCCTGGGCAAGCCAATAGTCTTGCTCTGGATTGTGCAAGTAAGTCCTTCATCACGGTTTCGCCGTCATCTTTTTATGCTTATTTCTCGCCTTAAGTATGAAATTATCTTTTTATAAGCTTCATTAAAACTTTATTGTCGCAACTTGGTCTTGTTGTCAGGGCGACTTAGCAGAACGCACCTAGTCCGAAGTCGTCTGCGTTCTACTAAATCGCCTTGACAACAAGACCAAGTTGCGACAACAAGGTCAACCAACTTATATACATCGAAAGGGGACTGAGACCATACCAGAGGCCACAACATCTTGGTCTTCATATATTCATTAAAATTTGTTTATTTATATCCTTGTATGAGTACAGCTCTATGGGTGATCTTCATTTACCATCTAGTCATGAGAACCTGCCTATTTATTATATTTGGGGTAATATATCGAAAGCTAGTGCCATTTTAATAAACTATTACAAGGTATACGAAGATTAATTGGCTTTCGATGAATCTCCTAATGCTAGGATCTGGCAATTAAGGCTTAATGGCCCAAGAAAAAAACTTTGACTGAGACTGCGTAAGTCTATATGTAACTCTGGCTGAGATAATGAAATGCAAGCAGCGTTAACACGAACGTAGCATTGAAGCCAAACGGCTGCAGTACAACGCGAAGCATGATCGACCTTCGAATTTCTTCTTCCTACAATTTATTACGAAATAAAAGTCTTCTAACAGTATTTCAACGATGCTACATCAGGAGATAGTTTAAGTGAACAGGGTTAATGCTAAACCATACTTTTGCAGGTGAAATGATCCAACTCTAATGTGATGAGTTATATCTTAGGAAAAGTACCGAGACCTACAGGAAAAATAAAACTTCTTAGTGTGATTTGTCTCGGAAATGTTGGTCGGAAGATAATCGTGAATTGGCCTTATCGGACACCAAAAGCAGATTGATTTTAAATGGAGAATATTGGGATGAGTAATCCTCAGTCAGTTTTTGATGAGGCCATTTCACGAATCCTTTTCACCCAATTTTTACTTCCAAATGAAACGATTAGTCGCTAAATGATTAAAGGATTCTTTGAAATTCAGCTTTTTAATCAAGCATGAAGAATGTGATGTTGAAGTTGCATAGTTTTTATAAGTTACACAAAGTTTAAGGTGAGGAAGGAACGGTAGTTGAATTTTCCAACATTCATAAGAGTAGGTCTTACGTTTCAATTGAATTTCACATAGTCTTGCTTCCCTGAAGGTATTCTCATCGCGACTGGGGTGGGCTGAAGTTTTGACCTCGCCTCAACTGGCCTCATCAACGTCTCCGGCTGGACTCAAACCCTGACAGGGCAGCGTATAATATTTGATGCATTAGGTCTCGAAACCCTACCTATAAACGAAAAATAAGTAGTGTGGTCGATTTCTATAGTAAATAGAACTTTGCTTCTTCGACAATTCCACCGCAGAATACGATATGAGAAAATGACTGGTCTTCTTTGGAATTTACCTCTGCCCTGTGGCCGAAGTGTACTCGTGGCGATTTTGCGTAGGGCTTAACATGTCAAGATTATACGCTTCGTCGTCATGGTTCGGGTCCTGCTGGGGGTGCTGATGAGACCAGCTCGGGCGAAGTCGAAATTGCAATCCTCTCCAGCCGGCATAAGAATACCTTTTGGGAAAGCAAGGCTGTGCGTAATGCAATGGAAACGTAAGGTCTACTCAACTATTTATGGGAGAATTCAGCCTCTAGCCTGCTCATCATCTTAAACGAAATGTGATGAGCACGTCTCGTATAACTTTGCTTATTGCCTAAACAAACTGAGTAGTTCCGAAGTCAGCGGGATTAAAAAAGGGAAGAAAAGTGATAGCAGGGCAGAGGGTCTGGCTTCATTTGCATTTGAGACTGCTGATGCGGCCCAGACCGATTCGAAACTGTAGCCTATTATCGATTAAATACCCTTAGCTAGGCAAGATTAAATCAGGTTCACTGGCATCGTAAGGATGGTAGATCTATTTAAAATACCTGGACGATATTTTAATTAAAATAAGGTCAGCCCAAGGATTCCTGCCTATCAACTTTTACATGAAATATATGGCACAATGCATCTTTTCAAAGTTGAATCAGCTTTTTTACCTGAACTTTTCCATCCGAATGCCTAGCTAGCCCACAATTTTGATCTAAAATAGTCCTAGGCAAACGAATATTGTCGACTTAATGATACATCAACTTCACAGATTACTTTGAGTATTCTATTGCGTTTAGGCAAGACATGTTTATTTATCTAAGGCATATTATTAGTCCCCAATTCCAATATCACTGTTCGCCATTGATAACTTTTTTATGGTTTCCTGCAGCTGATGGTCGTGCGCATCGTCTCTACTGGATAAACTCTCTCACAATGAAATTGGAGTCTGTCGATTTGAAGGGTAAATCATTCCTTGCTTGGATCATTCAGCTGCCAGATCCACCTTCCTTATTCATGCCAGACTTGTCGAGCTCCAGCTCACCAGCCCAGAGTGCTTCAGCCCAAGCCAAAAAACGACGATTTACACCATACGCCCTTGACGTATTCAACGGAGAGCTGATCTTTTCAGAGGTTAATTGAATATTCCGATTTGATTTTTTTGACTCCTCATTTATGGCAAATTCTGATTAGTCTTGCTTTCCGAAAGTTTTTTTATAAGGAGCTG